CTACTTAGGAGCTTTTACTAATTTTAAACAAAAATAAGCACCAATGGGGATTCACACTGCAATGACTAGACCATGGTTCCCACAATTCATAATAAGAAATAAAATGTGTATAATCACAGCTATGACCTCAGGAAGGGAGTAGGGATAAAGAAGAAAGTAAATGCAGATAGGATAAGCCCTGAGTGTCTGAGAAGCATGTTAAATACTTATGATAGCAACAATGGTCCTGAAGTCCCGTGTTCTAACTAAGGATGACTTTCCTAATGCAAACAGGTCTTGCTGGTAACAGTCACTTTTGCAATGGGATGTGATTCCTATGCCTACCTTTAATATAACACTATCACTGTGCATAGAGTTACCTTCATCTTTGTCCCAGGGCATGCAGGTGTTGTTGGCAATGAAAGAGCTGACCGATTAGCCAGCTCTGCTTTAGTTACAGAGGGCCGGCTCATGGGTCATGCCGGCATTGTTAACGCCATTAGAGAGGTCGGACGTTTGGAGAATTTTGGGAGCAGCCCATCCACATCTTTGCTAAGAGTGCAAGAATTAGAAGTAAAGATTAGCACAGCCAGGCATGAGAAGCACACCAGATGCACAAGAAGTCTTGTCAACCAACATAGGACTGGGACCATCAACCACGGCACGCTGATGTATATGATGAAGGGTGAATCTGAGCACCTTATAGATATGTCAGGAGTGCCGTGAAGATAACCCAAATCATAACTCACAACACTATCATGTGAAAGGATGCTAATTATAATCACAGTGAATTAATACAGAAACGAATCAAACTTACCGATAAAAAGTACTAAAGTCCCCGGCATAATGCAGCCAAACATAGACAGGATGAAAGCCTTTGGAGTGATATGGTCCTTGTTGAAGTTCTGGAACACCGGCACACAAAACCTCTCAAAGATGTAGTAGGTGTAGAACAGGCAGGCCAGAACCTGGCTGAAGTTAGAGACTACATATCTCCAACTGATGGTCTGGGTCCTGTGGGCAGGTAAGGATGCATGCATATTATAATCTCCAGAGAATTTAGGTGTGCGAGGCAATAAGCAGGCTGATAGACCAACTGCTGCTGCTCCTCTGGGCAGTAGGTTACTTTATGATAAAACAGATTTGGTGGAGGCTTTAGGGAATCAAATGGACAGATAGAGAGAGAATCCATACACTGAAAACTAATTCAACTAGGGGTGTATTGAGGGTGTGAAAGATATTCAACACTGAGGGAAAAACAGAGGCAGACTTTTAATCATGTTGCAAATGTATTATTAGCAAGATGTCTCTTCGCTTGCTACTGAAGTAGGGGACGGAGCATGTGTGGGAATGTCCAGAGTGCAGCGATGTCAAGTCTTGATTCACTCATTCATTGAAGAGAATCTCTAATGATATGAAGTGCATTTTATGGGAACCACTGCTGACATGAGCGTAAATTATTATGTTCTTTAGCAATTAAGTCATGTGCACACGATATAATAGGACTTTTATCAACACCAACAATTTCATCAAGTGCAAATTACAGTAACAGGATGTCAAATAGTTTAAAGAAAAAACAAAACAATCCACAGCAGTTACTGCTACCACTGGATTGTGAAAAGTTGAAAGTTCACATCTTTTTCTGGGCTAATCATATGAAGGTGGGGGTCACTAGTCCAATGTCCTGAAACCTTTCCTGACAATTCTGAAAACAGTCTGACAGCCATTTGAAGATCAATAACACCAGACTTTTATTGGCTGGAAATTCTTCTTATTCTCTTTCTTCTGTGCTCACCCTGAAAAGGACAGTTGGCCTGTTGGGTTATGGTTTACAGCTAAAGAGAATCTGCAATCGTGACAATGACAACACGGTATACTGTGATAGATCTTTAGAAATTAGGACACGTTGCAAAATGAGATAAAAGGGGTTTTTATAACCTCAACAACATGCTGTGCAAATTACATTAGCAACCAATTGAGAGCAAAAAAAAGAAATTTTTTAAATTAAAAACAAATCAAAAGGGTTTTCCCCTTTTTCAAATTAAAAATGCGGGACACAAACAGGAAAAGTACAATTTCAGCCGGGCAGTTTCGATACCTTGTAGGTGCTAACTAGACAGTTTGGGCTGAAAAAGGATTGAGCAAAACAGGGAATGCCCCAAAGTGCTTTTTG